GCAGCACCAGATACATCTCCACGAATCCCAGCAGCCGTCACGCACACAGACGGACGAGCAGCAGCACAAGGGCGCAAGGACCAACACGGCGCCGCACCGTCAACATCGTCACCATCGCAGTCATCACTCGTAGTGGAGTCGCTGGAGTCAGTGAGCCGATCCGTGAGCCAGAAGGAAAAGGAATGGAACGAGAGGGAGAGGGACGAGGCACAGCGGGTACAGCGAGAGAGAGCAGACAACATGAGGAGAGGGCAGCAGGCCCAGCCGCACAGTTCACACACCACGAGACGGCGTCCACTCAAGGAGGGCAAACAACGCCAGCAGCCACCCACCATGCAGGAGGAGAAGACATCCACCACCATCTCCCCCAGCTCATCTCCGCAGCTCCAGGGAAGTGGCTAAAACCCGCGGCCACCACACCAGTCACACAATGAGCAGGCGAACCCTCATCCATCCATCACGCGGCAACAAATTTTCCTGCCATCCCGCCATCAATGGGACACGGAGCCCAACTCAGCGCAGTCACACGCGGTGCATCACACCCACAGGAAAAGAGACTCGGGTGCGCGCTCCCTCTCCTCCCTTCGCCTCATGGCCACAGAAAAAGACAACGGCCGCCACACGCAGCTGCCAGCATGCACTACAAAAGAAGCATCCAAATCCACTGCAATGTGCGTCTTGTGTGTGTGGTTGTGTGTGCCTGCAGAAACACGAAGCAAAGAATTAGAAAAGAGGGAGCGGAGTTTGTGGAGAGACGCACAAAACCAAAAACGTACAGCGAAGGTGCGTGGCGGAAACAACGAGAAGAAGACCGCTCAAACTCATGACTGCACCGCAGCCCAAGCAGTGGCGATCCACACAATATTTATTCAAAACAAAAAGAAAACCACCCCCTTCGTCTTACATAAACCCCATCGCACAAAATAATTATAAAAGAAAAAGAAATCGTCCATTACTGTTCCACACAAATTCAAAAAAGCAGCCGGCTGCCTTGTAGCCCCACCAAACTGTCCGTATATTTTGCCCAAATTAAAATTAAAAGATATTTAAATGTCCTTCGACCGTCCGACCCTCCGTGTGTCCGCACATCGTTTATATTTCATGGGTCATCTGCGTGTTGCTGCTCCCCTCAGCCCTCTCATCGGCGCGTGAGTGCGGCCCGCAGAGCACAGTCACTCGTGTGTGTGGGGACTGAGAGAAGCACGCAGACACGACGGGAGTCGCGTCACTCCACCGGGAGAGTGAGCGCAGCAAAAAAAAAAATCATCAGAGAAGAAAAGAAATGCTCACAAGGCCGACACCGAAGGTTGCGCCGGCGCAAAAAAAAGAAAAACACGGCGGCAGGGTGTGGCTGTGTGTGTGGCGCTGCGGGTGTCTGCCAGCCCTGGCCGCAAGAAAACAAGAGGGAAGAAATGTGTGCGCCGCCCCACAGGCCCTCGTCGCACGCCCACACGTCACGGCTCACTCAGCGCGCCGTTCGTCGCGGCCCTCCTCATGCGTGCAGCAGGCGAGGCGCACAGGGCCGTCGTCGTGAGCGTGTCGGTGGTATGCGAGTGGAGCAGTTGGGCGGGAACACACGGCACCCCTCGCAGGAAGAGTGCAGAAGAAACAATTAAAGAGGGAAGAGTAGAAAAGAAAAACGTCCACAGTGACTGCCCCAAAAGCAAAAAAGAAAGGGATAGGGGATGGGAGATAATAAAAAGAAAACATTAAAACATAAGAAAAACAAAAAAAGTACACAGAAACAACAAAAACAAAAGAATTTAAAAAACTAAGAGCAAAAAAAGATGTTTTATGAGAAAAGAAATTCCTTCCAGGGGAAAAGTAATTCTCCGCAGCGGAGGTCGCAAGTGACCCACGCGGCAGCCAGTCAC